TCTGCATTGTGCAGCCACTCGGGCCACAGCCCAGCCTAGCGCAGCATGTCAGGCGGCTCGGGGGGTGGGGGGGTCATGCCTTGACCATGTCAGCGACCAGAGCGTCTATCTCCGCAAGGCTCACAACGTTGTTCCCATCCTGAATACAATGTCTGAGAATTCAAGCCTAGACAACTCAAGAAGCTAAGTCTTTGACTCTGTCAAGTTTTCGCCAAAGTTGTTTCAAGCCTTGGTGTGCCGTCAGTGCTGCTGCGGGCCGTTTGCAGAATATGCAAGATCGAGCTCAGAGCTTTCGTTGTCAGTCAGGCCGAACTGTTTCAAATCCTTTTCAACCTCGGATACTGCTGGCCCACACAATACATGTAGTTGTAGGGTGCTGCAATTCACGACAGTTGCCTGGTTGCGCAGCAAGGTGAACTGGTCCTGGGATGCCTGCAGAGTTCGCAATCGTGAACAAAAAATGCCAAGCACGTGAGAGCCACTATCAATATGTGATTGACCTCAAGGACATGGGCAATATTTTGAGTCCCCTGGTTGTGTCGGAAAAATTCAGCGAGTCTGGTTCCTGTATGGTTTGACCGAACCTCATCGGCAGAAGACATGCATACTGACAAGCCTGCGCAAGCACACAAGTGATATTGTCGTCTTTGTTCCATTGTCCGTCTTCACCTCAGCACCGCAAAATACCGCTTATTGGCACAGCGCACATGCATCGTGTGCGAACAACACAAACTGAGGCTGGCCACCACAACACATCCATGGTCCTCCGCATTGTGTGGGATCGTTGCAGTTGTTGTCTGACACGAAGGCATAGCATCGAGCACCATCCTGAGTGCAAACAATGCCAAGCAACAAACCTTAAACGATCTTCGTGCAGCATAGCACTCGCGCTGCAGTTTCCGCAACAGCAATTTTCAGATGTCGAGAACCTCTACATGCCCGCACTTCAACAGCCAGGCCATCGCGAAATCTAATCTATGCCACACGAGTATTGTAATTGCAATGCCCCTCAGGTATCGCGGTTGTCGTCTTCTCGATCCAACTCCTCTCGCAGACAACGCGTTGGCACTTGTAAATTTGCATGTTCAGTGGCGCCTGCTCGATTTTCTGTGCAGCGCGTGATCTTCCCTGCATACAATATGCTGCGGAATTAGCATCACAGGAGCGCACACCAAGCACGGCAAACTGCGCGTGCCTTCTGCAACTGCTTTGTGCCCTGTTGTAGATCTTTCGCGGCCTCGGAAAAAACTTGTGACGTGGCCAACTTTGAATACCACAATGCTCGCCTTGTGTGATGCTTTGCCCAAATCCTCTGTGGCTTGTTGCAACTCCTTCTCTGTCTCCCTGCCGACTCGCAAGAAAATCGATTCAGCAAGGAAAACAATGCACAATGCAAGCGGACGCTGGCAAAGCACCTCCACTCTTTAGCATCCTTCATTGTTGCATCACCAGCCTCATCCCTGAGCCATACTGTTTGCAGTATGCAAGGGAACCCAGCAACTGCGGACAAGACACGTTTCCTTGATTGATGTTTCCACGGGGCCATCTGATGCCAGTTCTGCCTTCAGCTTCGAATACATCCTCAGAATAAAATCATAGAACACAAGTGTGGCCTATCATGGAACAAATGGTGGAACACGCGCTTGTTCGCCTTGCCTGTCATGGTCGGTTAGGTCTTACGCCACAGTTGGAAAACACAGACTTTCATTGTAGCCGAAGACATTTTTCCAGCAAGGGCTCGTGGTAGGTAAGTCTGGAATTTTGGGAACTGGCATCCCGATGTCGTCATCAAAGCTTTCCTGCCGCGAGTTGCTGGGCGCACTTGTCGAACAAAACCTGCCAACAGGACCTATGAAACATTCATTGTTTTGCATGGTCACATGCATATATCCTCAGACTCCTCCGACTCCTCGTTGTTTTCCAGGTGACGGCCAATCTCAGGCGCCCACAACACGCTCGAAAAGGCAAATCAAATTCCACAATTCCACAATCTGCGTCTAGGCAACATTGGAGATAGTTCCAGCGCCTGGCCGCAACGAGCACTGACCTATTGAAAGGCCTGAAGGGCCGAATGGTTGCATGTAACGCATCCTTTTAAGCGGTCTCTTGCTACCATGGCCTGTCTTCTGGTTTGCTTGCTCCTTCTGCAGCAAGCTTAGTGGGCTGCGTTGAGTCATAGTTCGAATGTCTCCTGCGCAAAATCAAGAAGTGAGCCCGATACTCCAGGTTTGCATCTGTGCTGAGCATGTTTGTACGCTGGCGAAAGGTGCCATGGAAATGGAGGAGCCTTCGTCATCATGAACCACCCAATCTCCATACAGCCTAGCTGCATTCATGCCAAATCGATCAAATACATGGCTGATGCATGCAAGGCTCATATCTTCAAGCTCTTGCACTCGGTCCTTGAAATCGGCAAAGGCAAGAGAGCGCAAGAAGGATTTGCTTGGATGAGAACCGGTTCTCAGCCAGGGCACACTCCCCACAATAACGAGTCCAGACCAAAATCCTGCAATTGGCAGTTTCCATCTCAATGGAGCCATACATCAGCCACCTGGCCGACTTTGTTAGACTCACGTAGCAACATGCCATTGACTATACAATGCCGCAGTTTTCTGACATTGGACTTGCAAGGCGAACACACCAGCCTCTGAGCCGTCTCTCGGGAAGCGAGTATTTCACAGGATACAAATGTTGACCGAAGTATGCATGCTACATGCTTGGGCCACTAAAATCAGATTGCGAACGCTCACGCTGCGCCACTCTCAAGCACAGGAAGAACATTGGATGCTGCAAAACTCCAAACAAATAAGACACCTGCATTGATACGTTTGCTGATGACCCATCGGGACTTCCCGGTGTGGAACAAGTAGACCTCAGTGCAGGCCAATTACAACTGTAAGTTGATGATCCACAGAGTTTAGCAACTTGCCAGCAGCAGAAACATGCAGAATCAAGTTGCGACATGTTGTTGTGCAATCGGTGCCATTCGCTTCAACCAGCATGAACAAAATATCACCACAAGGCAATTCGCACACACGCACTGAATTGAGTAGAATCAACGCATTACGGCCTGAGACGCTCCAAATGTTCTAGATATGTCACAATTCATCCTCACCTGTTCCGCTAAAAACAGTCAGATTTTCGCAAATCAGTGTCAATTGTGCCACACCCAACAAATGATTCACCATGTTGACACGCCCTCACGCATTCGCATGCGCCCATATGAACCGCGCTGGGGCTGCAGATCTCGCTCGCCAACATGGTCTACCATGTTGCACCAAGTCCAAAGGCCTTGGCATTGCACAAAACACATGCCAAAAGCCAACTAGGTGCCCATTGATTAAAGAGTTCACTGAGAATAAGTGTGCAGCTCGTACGTGTCATTTATGAGCTTGTACCTCAATTTCGTACAATCAATGCTGTCAAGCAATCCTTTCGCTTTGAGCTCCCAGCTTGCCAGTGCAACCGGAGATCACGATTGCATGGTTTGTTCCTTGTGGTGCTGCCTGCAAAACAGAGACATAGTTCAAGCATCCAAAATGCATTTTACATTGATTCAACCCACCTTGGTCTGTGAAGCTGAACCTCAGTTTCTAGCTGTTCTCCGTGCAATGCGCCATGTGGGGCCGGGCGCGAACCATCGCCATTTCTCGGTGTCATCTCCTGGCATGTGAACACATTTGAGATATGCAGGAAACATCATATGTTAAACATGGGTGTGCCAATGACATGCCCAAAAGAAATATCATTTTGACAAACAAATGCGTTAGTTGCCGTACGTGCAGAAGCCGCACCAATGCACATTCAATGATTTAGTAGCCTCGCTGTTTGTAGGGTCTGTCAATGGTTCTGCTTAATGTTTCAACAACCCAGTGAAAACGACTCGAAATTGCAAGGGAAAATCATGTCACAATGTCGGTGTTAGTGCCCAACTGTTCGATTTGGAAAAGCAGGCAGAATGTGTCACGAGGACGCATCACAACCGGCCAACATCAGAGCCTCTGGGCTGGCCCTGGGCGTCGCCGAACGCTGTGGAGGCTGCTCAGTCATCATCATGCGTTTGCCTGATGCAGTGTGCCAGAATTAGTGGATTTCATGTGGACTTGTTTGCTACTCGTTGTGTGAAGATGATATGCGAGAGTGTGCAATGGCAGAGTGCGTTGTGCCATACATCACACAGGGGCCGCACCTGATGCCTGAGGGCTGCTTGCATTCACTGCCTCGATGCAGTTGAAGCCAGCTCTGGGACAAACTCAGTGCATTGCTGTGAGTTCTGGGCAATGTGGGAACGGTTACCTGGCCGAATGATGCACACAACGCATGCAATATGACACTGCAAATACTTGGATCCTGCGTGCCTGCCAAGCCCTTGTAGCCTCCTTTCTCACTCCCTCCTGGACTCGACATCCTGCAACTACTCAGTGCAATGAGTCTGCCCATTTGAAACAAACAGACTGTGCAAATGGAACATGCATGTTTGTCCATCTGTCGGAACATGCACGCGCTGTCCATATGTCCTGCACGGACGATTAGGCACCGGCCCAGGTCTTTGGGGCCGGATCGACGATTGGTTTGAGCCACGCTGGCGCGTCGAACGTTTGGACGTCGGGTCCCCGCACTCCCCAAGGCGCGTTTTGTGGTTGGAACAAAAAACCCAGATTGCTACAAGCGATTTGGTCTGAGTCGAGAACTTCCTGTAACGTGCACCAACTAATACTCATGGCATTTGTTTGTGGTCGCCCTTCTTGGCGTGTGAAAAAAGGATACTGTGGGCAATATGCATTTGTGATCGCTGATGCAAGCGTGTGTTTGTGTGTGCGTGTGTGTCGGCCAGCATTGTGATATGTGTGTTGCCATTTGTTCGTTGGAATTGTGGGCTAGTTGGGTTTGGTAAGTTTTAAAATTTGATAGGATTTGATTAGACTTGGTGGGACATGTGTACGTCTCACGTTTTGTTTTGTGGCCTGTCTCTTGTTTAGTCCGTCACGTCCCATCTCGCTCATCGCGGCCTGCATGTCTGGAGTCTCGGGTCTTGGCTCCAGCGAACGAGCCGAATGCAGCACATTTTTTGGATGCACCGACCAACGTGGATCGTGCTGCAAGCGCATATCTCACGCTGGTCTCACTTCAGATTCTATGAAGTATTGATCGGAATGGTCCTGGCATCAAATGGTGTCAGCATTGTATGTATATATATATATATATATATGCTCCATTCCCTGTCCTCACTGCAGAACGAAGTGCTGCAATCAGGTCGCCATCATGCATCCGCAGCAACTGGACGTGCCAAGTGTAAAAAACAACGACTCCAAGTTGAAACGGTTGAGGATACTGCCCGCTCCAAAGCAGCTCGGTCACACAGCGGCAGCTCCGAGCCTCAGTATCTCCGTTAGCTCAAGATTCAATTGCGTGCGAATTGCACGTGTAAATACTTGTTTCAGGCGCGCACACATGAGTTCCAAATCATCTGGGCAAATCCTGCTTCAATAATGGCTACGCATTGCAACTGCACGCTTTCGTGATGGTTTCCTGCCTCACTTGCTGGAGTTTTTTTTCCCTCTCTGCTGCTTCTTTTTCAGCCTCCTCCTGTTCCACGTTCTGCTGTTTCGCACTGTCAAATGTGTTCACCATGTGCAAAACATAGTGACCAAAACACCCATTTCATTGGCGCCTTCTTCTTTTTCAGCTCGTTTAGCTTGGCTTCCACCTCCCATGGCATTTTTTCATGGCCGCCGCCATGCTAAACTTAACATGGAGTACGAACGCACAAAGGTACATATGTTTTTCAAGAACTCACGTTTGCGTGCATGTCTAAATCTTCTGAAAACGGGACAAACAAAATGTTATGACTCCGCAATTGCAAGCAGCTGGAACCTCCTTTGTGTCTACCTTGGATGTGACTTTGTCCTGCGCAGGGGCAAAATTGATGACATGAACACTGTTTTGTTCGAAAGGCCTTTGGCAGTCCTCATCCACAAAATCGGTCAAGCTGTCTAATTGCTTGGCCTGCAAACAACGAGTAAGAAAAATTGAACACACATGATCTGTGTCCTGCCTCTTTGGCCGACTCTCCGGTTTTTTTGGGCACATCCTCTCTCACCAGTTTTGCTACACACGCGCACACACACACATACAAGCGCAAAGATTATCACCTCATCATCTTCTTCTTCAACATCGTCATCATCGTCCTGCGCCGCCATAACCAGGATGCCAGTTGGACACAAATGCGTACAAAACGACACAGCAGCGACCTTGTTTTTGGGCCCCATGGCTGGACCAAAAACTCCTCTAACCTACTGCTTGAGAGCGCGCGGATGTCAAGCAACGTTTTGTACCCCTGCGCTGTCTCAACCCATGCAGGATTTGTTGGCATGCCCTGCCCCCCCCCCGTTCTTGTGGTCTGTGCCACTAACAGAACATGAACGAAAACATGATGTTTTTTTCGCGCTGATGCACCGAGTGCAACAGACCTGTACAAACCTGTACAACACAACAGCCTGCGCGAAATGCAAGGGCCAAGCCACATTTCAGCTTGGGCAGTTGTCTCGCGTTGGTGCCAATCTCATCGTCAGGACAGTCATTGCTCACTTGCAAGCCCCTGCGAGGCAACATTGTCACAATGATGTGTGTGTGTGTGTTGTGTTGGTCCACGAATGGCATCATTCTACCGGTTACGTCAAACCACGCGCAACCCAACTTTTTCGGCTGCATTCTGCCAACATCACCACCGTCAGTCGCAGGGCCTTGATTAACATGGTGATATGAGGGTGTGCAAACATGCGTCTCCAAAAAGGCATGAGCCATGTTGATTGATGTTGGCCAAGGTCGGGGCAAGCCACGGAGTCATGCATCTTTTGCCACCTGCGTCTGAACTCAAGTTTCTGTGATTCGGTGTTGGCAACTCACTGGGCAGCGCGCCTCTCCTTTCACACACACATAGATGTAGTGCACGCTGTCCTCCAAAGAAGGAGCAGGCACAAAACTTGTTGTTGCGCAAATCCTTGTCGTCTGCAGACAGCGAGGCTGTCATTCCCATCATTGGCTTCTGCACCGTGTATGTCTTCACCTTTGCCATCGAGCAACCCGGAAACGTCTGTCCCGTTATGGTGAGTGAGCCACTATGAGCCCCGGCGTTCCACCCAAACTCTGGGCGCTGCATGTAGGTAAGGCGATAAGAAGGCTGGCCATGCGACACGCAAATGTACACGCCGTTGGGCTGCAGCACCTCAGGCAGTCGGCTTTCTGACAGAAGTAGTTGTGCTGCGTTTTTGGGGCAGTCTAAGAGTCCAGCCCTGGATACCTCAGACAGGATCTTCTGCGCATTGTGCGTGGACCCCTCCCCGCATAAGACGGAATCTAAGCAAGCCTGCCAGCCAATTGGAAACCCATTCTTTTAAATCGACTCTGTGCATCTTTGGCCTTGTCAATCACGACGTTGAAGTTGGCGTCTGGCAACTCCATTGACCGGCCGTCCATCTGCTTGTAGGTCATTCCAGGCTTGTCGCGATACTTTTCCTGCATGGCCTAGCGCTCAACTTCGGAAAGTGCGTTGCTGTGTTCAACAGCCCTGGCCTTGATGACTGTCATTGACATGTCGATGTTTGTAACGGAATGGTAGCCCTCCTGTGGAGTAACTTGCCGATTGGCCCGAATCGTTTCCAGCCATGAGATCCCCAGTCTGTGACCCTCTGCCTACCAACATAGACAATATGGATTCTGAGAGCTTTGCGAAGCTGCTTTAATCCAGCACTCTAGCAATTCTATTGTGCCAGTTCCTGCAATAGTTGCCCAAGAAGGATACAAATCAGCTTCGAACCAAACTTTGGCAAACATCAAGCTGTAGCGCTGGACACAACCCAACTTGAGAGCTTCCATGTCTCTACGGTGAACCGCCGGCAGAATCCGACAGCTGCAGCTGTGCAAACATGTCATCACTCGTGTCCTCGTACATCTCTTCGCTCAGCCGCGAGTTTCCGCAGCCAAGCCTCGCTTCATGGCAATCTATCCTTGCTGCCATCGGAAGGACACAAGCCCAAATTCACTCCGGGCCGCATCAAAACGGAGTTAGCCTCAAGCAAAGCAAGGCAGCAGTCCGACATGGCTCGACTGAGGGAACGACTGGCTGCACATACTCCGCAAAAGTATCCTTGCCATGCGCAAATGGACGCTGACCCGCTGACCCCCCCTCCCCCTCGCCTTTCAACGTTTCAACGGGTTCAGTTTCCAAGGCTTCGAAGGCTTCGGAGGGCTTCGCAACCCTTCAAAGGCGGTAGGTCTTAGGTCGAAAGACGTGCTGCTCGTGCAACATCTTGTTTGTGCACAAACGTGCTGGTCGTGCAAAGCGTGTTGTTCGCCCCTTGCGGCGTAAAGCAAAATACAAACAACCTCTCCTTCAGTCCAGCCCATCTCTGGTACCAGTCGAACGGTTCAGGGTCTCGAGTGTAACGCTCCTTGTCATGAAGCGTCACTTGAAGTCAGCTGCAAGCAAATTTCATGGAAGCCGGATGTCCTCCCAGTACTCTGCTTTTCCATACTGTGCCTCAAGACAGCGCCACCAAAGCGATTCAATGGCCCAGCTCTCAAAAATGCTCTTTTGGAGGCAAACACTCAGGCAAGGAGCCATGATCACCCAGGAACACGGAGTTGCCTTGGCCAAACAAAATCTTGGCCGAAGCCTTGATTGCCGCAGCTAGGCTTGGCTAGGCTCACCGCACAGGAGCTCCAAGGCCCTTTGTCTGGGCTACCAGCGCAGTATCTTTGAGAGGTAACAGCTTCACACAGGAAGCAACATTAAGAAAAATGGGGCAAACATGCCAGGAGCTGTCAGTCGCGCAGGGTTGGCATGAGCCAAACCAAACGTCAAATCAACTTGGAGAAATGTCAAGAGTTCTTTCATGCTGAATCAGACCGGGCCGAAGCATGGAACTGCCATACGTTCATGTAGCAGCCTACTGACAGCAACAGGTGCAATTGTACCAAAGCAACATGCTACTGCATCACAGAAGCCTCGGGCGCAGGACCTTCCTTTCGTGGGTGCTCTTCCTGACAAGCACTCAAAGTCCACCGCAGCTGACTTGTGCAAACGAAACCTTCCTGTAGAATGGGGGCTCCGCCCAATGATGGTGGGTTTAGCTTTGGTATCTGTTGCGGCCAACCACGCCAGAGAGTCCCAAACTTGCCAGAGCAAACGTTGACGGCCAACGCTAAGCACCAAACACCCAGCAAAGCATCCTCTGACCACTCCCCTTTGAACGCAGTATCATCGGCATAGACCTGAACGCAAGCGTGTTTGCACGACGAGGAGTTGGCAATATACGTTCTCTCAGGAGAGGGCATAAATACCGTGGCCATGCTTTTTGCCAGCCTGGCATGCAAATAACGTCTATGAGAAATATGACGCAAGCGTGAGCCGTTCTTCACTTGGTAGCAACCTTTCAGCCACAAGGTTGCATGTCGTGGCCTCCACCTGTCCAGCCTTAGCCAATTTGCGAATCGAGAAGCGGCCGCCGACTTGGCAAGGGATCTGGGGCTCAACGTACGCGTCGCAGGTAAGGCAGTCTGCAACAGCACCAGGAAGCAAAGCTAGTGCCACACCATTCTGCCTGAGAGGCATGCGGAGCAATGACGCACTGCTACATTACTCAGTGATTTGGATTTATGTCCTTCGATTCGATTCAACATGCCTGCTCTACGTTCTCAAAGCTTGCGTCATGCGACTTCTTGAAAGCAACGCTTGACCACGCAGGCTGCGTGCTTAGCTTCTTGTGCGAAACCAGGAAACCCTGCGTGCTTTGACAGCCTGTGCAACGAAAGCTGGCCAAACTTGCTTCTTCTGGTTCTGCCTCACTTGTACAACTGTACCTGGCAGCTGCCATGTCAACCTCCTTTGCGCTTCAAAGGCTGCAAGCTGAATCGAAATTTGAGGAGACCAATTGTTTGCTCGGGTTCCACAGACCATTGATCATGCTTCAGTCTTTACGCGGTGCAACGGACGACGAGAGGCCCCCAGGAGCCCAGCTGCTTGTTCTTTCCAGCCACCTATCATGACAATGCAAACAGCCCAGCTTGACATTTGAAATACGGCCCTGACGTTTGGCTCGGCACTCTCCTCGGCAGAAAAAACCTGCAAAGCAAACAAAACCGGACGTGCTTCAATCACAGGGCTTGTTCCGTCGCGCGCCTTGGAGCCCATCTTGGCAGACACGAGGCTTTCCCTCAACCTGAGCAGCTCCCGTTTCGGTCCGGCGGCGGTCCTAATCAAAAGTAACGCAGGAACCTGCCCCACTGCAGCCAGCAACAAGCTTCAAGTCTCTGGTGGCTTTCAAAACCCCAATGGCGCACAGCGTGCGACATGCGAACTCCACGGCGGGCTTTATTGCAGAACGGCCATCAAGTCGCCGACGATGATTGGCAAGCACCGTTGTGCCAGAATCCTGAAGTATAGCCGGCCAACTTGGAATCTAAAGCTCAACAGCTCGTCCTGCGGTGACCTTCGCACCGTACATGACCGCAGGGCCATGTGCTACGTCCCTGCACACCGAGGTGATGTTGACAGGCGCGTTAGGTCAACTGTTGATCTCTTTCCAGTGGCAAATTGTTGGCAAATTGTTGGCAAAGGTCCCCAAAGGTCCCCAAGCCTCGCCATTGATCCGCGAAAGACCTCATCCCAGGACCGGAGGGCAATGCAGGGACCCGTCAGTCTGAAGTGCACACTGAGCGCCAGACCTGGCCCGACGCGTCGATCTTCTCACCGACCTACACACAAAGCCGCGGCCAGGTGCAAAGGACTCAGAGACACACCGTGCAGCCGCTCTCGAAGGACCCATGTCTCGAACCTGAAGCCTCATGCGCGCGCGACACAATTTCATCTCGTGGGGACCTGCGTTACCCAAGGTGTGGACGTCTGTCAAAGAGCCGCAGCCTGCGGGGCAACCCTGAGATCAAATCACCAGGGCTCCTTGCCATGTTCCCCGGTTGGCACCAAATGCCTTGGATGCGTGAGCACTGGAAGTCGCCCTTGTACTGGTCCTGCAAAGGCTGACTCACATCAGAGGCTAGATATTAGGAGAAGCGGCGCGCGCCGCAAGAACCAGCATGCAAGTATGGCATTTAAAGAATTTCTTCGGCCGCATGGCATTGAATTGGCAACACGCCAGAACTGACAAATGTTTTCAGGAGTTGGACCAATGTCGCAAAGCATGACTCCGCTGAAACGATTGAACAGGCAGGCCAGCAGGCACCGACTAAACTCGATTTGTCGCGAAGCCTGCTTGATCTCCGTTCCGCCTTGTGTGCCAATTTGTCTTCGCCCATTTGCCTTGTTCAAAGCATTGTTTTCCTGGGCTAACGACTTTGGCTGCCAGTTCATGGCAGTATCGTCTTCCAAATGTGAAATGTTTCTCCTTATCACAACGTGGCATCGGAATGATTGGTATACATGGGAAAGTGTCTGCCAGCATGGGTGAGCATGGGTAAGCATGGGTAAGCATGGGTAAGCATGGGTAAGCATGGGTAAGCATGGGTAAGCATGGGTAAGCATGGGTAAGCATGGGTAAGCACGGGCAAGTCTGCCCAGGCACGATCTTATGCTTGTCCATACTAATCGTAATCTACTCCTTCATGCTGTCGCCTGCTTGCTTCTGCGAAATCAATCCTTCATGGGGAGAGGGGGAGGGGGCCCAAATATGCCCTCTGTAAGGCCTTATTACGGGCTTAACAAGGGCTTCTTTGGACTCCCTCCCCACATCTTCCTAGCCCACATAAATATTCTTCCTTACGACGGCGAAGCTGGGGGCATGCTTGAAAACCGTGGCCAACATCAGCAGTCCACTTCTCCATCACTCCGCGGAAAAGTTGCCTCAACCCCGCACTTTGCGCACATACATGCCACCGCTGAAAGCTCTGACAACGCTAGTGGCTTTGCTCAGCTTTTCGCGCATCCGCATCCTGTGCAAATTCAGCACGTTCTTCGCTGCCAAGTCGTGAAACTACTCGGTTTAATGTTGACTTGGATTAATCCGGAGGACCCCACTAGTCAGGAAAATCTTGTGAAATAGATCATTTCCCTGCTAAAAGGGAACCTGCCCTGATTAATACGTTCCTCCGAATTAATCCGAGGTTGACACTAACGCTGCCTTGCATCTCGCCCTCGACAAACTCACCGACCTACAAATCCAGCTGTGCATCGTGCAAACGTGTCCGGCCCTAGTCACAATCTACGCAATCACGGCACCGGGCGCTGGGCATATACGAAGCACCTGACAACCCAAACGTCAATACTGAACATGGCGGAGTAGGAGCCAGCATCTCAGTCCACGACTCTGTGTCGTCACCTCCTGGATGAGAAAGTGTGCCTCGGCCTCACAACTGATCATTGTGGCGGAAGAGCCCTTTCCACTTAAACTCCCCACTGACACGCTGCTCTGCTCAGCCCTCAGCCTTCCATCTCTCCATTGTGCCAGTCACCTGAGTATGTGCTGCCATCGGGCCTCAAGCACAGT